AGACTAATCGGGTCGCCGATGCCCTATCCCGGCGCCCTGACCACGACCAGGAGCACATCCAACTCTCTTCCATCTCGGTCACCACCATCCACCACTCGGTGATCGACGAGTTTCGCACTGAGTACCGCCACTGCCCCGACTATCGCGACATCCACGCGACCCTTCGGAGTGGCAAGACCGTCCCGAACTACTCTCTTGGGGACAACGGTCTTGTGTACTGGCACGGTTCCCAGGGCACCAGCGAGCCCCATATTTGTGTTCCCCTCACTGGACAGCTACGTGTCCGCGCAGTAGCAGAGTTCCATGACCAGGCAGCTGCCGGTCATATGGGCTTCCACAAGACGTTGGCTCGTGTGAGCCGCCTGTACGTCTGGCCGAAGCGCAAGGACTTTGTGAAGGACTACGTCGCAGAGTGTCCCACCTGTCAGGAGGTGAACAGTGCGAACCACCTACCTTATGGTTTGCTCCAGCCTCTTCCTATCCCTGAGGGTCGTTGGCAGTCCATCTCGATGGACTTTATCGGTCCTCTTCGACCTCCGACCCCCCGTGGTCATGATTCTATCCTGGTCGTCGTCGACCGCTTCACGAAGCGTGCACGCTTTGTTCCGTGCCTCTATGCCATCAGTGCACGTGAGGTCGCCGACATCATATTTGACCGAGTCGTGCGTGACCACGACTTACCTCTGAGCATCTTATCTGACCGTGACCCGCGCTTTACCAACCGATTCTGGCGACGGCTCCACGAGGTGTACGGCACTCAGCTCCGCTTCTTCTCGTCTTACCATCCTCAGACTGATGGTCAGACCGAGATCACGAACAGGACTCTCGGGGATATTCTCCGAAAGATTGTTCGTGACGACCAGCAGTGGGATCTCCATCTTGCCCACGCGGAGATAGCCTATAACCACGCCGTCTCGCCAGCCACGGGGATGTCACCTTACTATTGCGACCTCGGCTATCACCCGTGTGTTCCCGCGGACTTCCTTCGACCGTCCCAGATGCACCCCGACACGAGTTGTCCCTCGCTGGATGATTGGGTTGCACACATGACGTCGATTATGAAGACCGCACATGAGCACATACCCGCTTCCCAGACTCGCATGGCAGCACGTGCGAACCGATCGAGGATGGATCMCCCATTCAAGGTCGGTGATGAGGTGCTTATCGATGCCCGCCACTTATAGCTCGAAGCGGACACGCTTCGCAAGTTTCGGCGTCGCTTCTTTGGCCCATGCCGCATCCTCCAGGCCGTCGGTTCTGATACGGCATCTAGCCCGGTCAGCTTTCGTGTGAAGCTGCCCGAATACCTACGCCAGGCTCGTGTGCATGATGTCTACCACGTCTCGTTACCGCGTTCTTGCCGCAGACCGTCTGAGCGTTTCGCTGGACGACCATACGAGCGCCCTCCACCCATCATGGTGGACGGCCACGAGGAGTTCCTCGTTTCAGACAT